TGCTGACCTGAATATTGGGAAAGGGCATGGCCCATGGTCATTTCCAGGAAGTCAGCAGCAGGGGCAGAACGAGAGCCACCAAACGTTCCTACTTTGGTGTTCTTTCCACTCAACCACACCAAGACTAGGGAAGGATCAACAGTTAACAGACAGCTTTCACTTGCGCTTAAGAAACAGTAGCAGACAGTGAGTTTGGAGCCTGTGGCATGAAGAGCGAAGGTGAGACTTACATCCAGGGCATCCTGTGTCTCCTGTTTGGTAGGATTCGTTCGATGTAACCGCTCGTAAATCACAGTGTCAGCACCTTTACAGTAAAGCCTGATACTGCCTTCAGGGGTTCTCACTAGCAGCGAGGAAAGGAAAAGCAAAGAATAAAGTTAGGTTTGATTTCTTAATAGAAAACTACATTGATAAAGTTAATTTAACTATCACTCTGCTAATAATGCACTATTAGTTTAAACTCATCAATGTACCTGGAAAAATGTTGCTCTCAACAAAGTGGGTAAACCACTGCCTACATAGAATGTACTAGCGAAGTAAATATGAAAAGATTTCTTTGGTCACTTAGCTTTCCATATCCTTATTCTTTCAGCAAATACTTACTGACTTCATGCCCTGTGCTAGTTTCTTCCATAGAAGCTTCTTTGTCCATGCTAACCAATAGGACTCTTTCTTGCCTGTAAATTCTTATTGCCTTTGATACTCAGACCATGACATGACTCCTCATGACCTTTTTGTTGTTGTTAATCCTCACCCAAGGATATTTTTTTTCCATTGATTTTTAGGGTGGAAGAGAGAAAAGGAGGGGAAAGAGAGAAAGAAAGAGAGAGAGAGAAACATCGATGTGAGAGAGAAACATTGATTGGTTGCCTCCTGCATACACCCCAAACAGACTGGGGATCAAACCTGTAACTCAAGTACGTGCCCTTGACCGGGAATCGAACCTGGGACCCTTCAATGTGTGGGTCGATGCTCTAACCACTTAGCACACCAGCTAGGGCTGTGACTATTTAAAAAAAAATTTTAATCTATGCAGTAATTTAGGAAGTACTCAGCAACATAAGCCTAGTCAGAGATCCGTAGGCAGTTCTGTGTCTTTTCTTGGTTGCAAATTCAGTCTCATAATGGAGAAATCTGTGGCACCACCTTACAGAGTGATCGAAAGCTAACATCACCAATAACTATGTGCCTTCTGATATGATATGCTGGGAAGGACACAGCATCATCTATATATTCATCCTACCAACTATGTGTAAGCTGAAGCCAATCATGGGGGAACATCAGACAAACCCAAATTGAGGGGCTTTCTACAAATAATGAGCCTGTACTTTTCAAAACTGTCAGTGTAGGAAAGATAAAAAAAAAAGGTGAGCAACTGTTCTAGGTGAAAGGAAACCAGAGTAACAATCACCTAAAGGAATGTGTGATCTTGGGTTGGATCTTGAATACAAAAGACAGAAAGACAAAAGAAAGGGAGAAAGGGAAGGAGGAAAAAGGGGATAAGGGTGATGGAATGAGGAACATTTCTGGTAAAATTTGAAAACATTCCATAGATTAGATAATAACATGGTATTACATGAAATTTTCTGATTCTGATCACTACTGTATATATGAGTGACTGTTCTTGTCCTTAAGAGATACTTACGTAAGTATTTAGGGGAAAAGGCATTAGAACTGCAATTTGCTCTCAAATAGTTCAGAAAACAAGAACCTCTGTAAAATGCAAATGACAGGGAAAATGTGGCCCATGCTAGCAGTTGGTGAATATGGAAGAGCATAAAGGAGTTCTTCAACCATTCTTACAATTTTCCTATAAGTTTGAAATTATTTCAAATCATGGCTTAAAAAATTTCACTATTAGAAAGCAAGCTTCATCTCCATTTGATTGCCTATTGTAATGTGCCTGGATTGGAGGTACGATTTTTTTATTCCTAAGCACATCCTTGCTGTACTCAGAACTCCTCTCCTGCTGAGTTCTTCCTCCTCTGACACCAAGTGCAGACCACAGGGGCTTGGAGAGGCTCACATGGAAAAAGCACATGTGGGCCATGCTGCCAGCTGTGCAGCTGCCACCCTGAGCATGCTGCATCTGCCACCCAGACTTGGCAGCTGCCAGCCTGCATCGTCAGAGTGTCAATCAACACTTGCAAGATTCAGATCTCCTGCAATGTCTCTTGGGCAATGGGCATCAGCAGAATGAAGGAAAAACACTGGCTTCAGTAAGTCTGCGGAAATCTTCCAGGAGCCTAGTCGTTCATTCATTGGCTGCTTTCTCCTGATGTCCTAAAGAAAATGTGTGACAGGCAGCATCTGAATGAGAGACTCACAGACATACCCTTGAGAGAGACCTACCAATTATAGACATCCGCTTCCGGTCACTGTTGAAGTCTAAAATGGCAAGAACTGTGTAGGTCCTCTCGGTGCCCATCTCACTGATGGTGATGGTGTTCTGGGTCCGGGCGAGGAAGGCAAAGCCAAAGTCTCTGGCGGCACTTACCAGAGCGCCCTCGTCAGGAGAGGCTGCCTGGTAGTTGAGCTGACCTAACAGAGGAGCAGGGAGAAAACCAGACAAGTCGTAAGACCCAACGCAAAGCTTACTGCCAACAGTTCACCCTGAGGTGTACTATGTGGGGGTGAGGATGGCTGCAGAGCCCAACATTCCCCAAGAAAGGAGTGTGACAATATTAACTTTCACGGTTTATTTCTAACTATAAACAGTAACTTAAACTAGAAGTTTAAAAAAATTGGCCAAGAACAGGAAAAATATTCCCATCATCCACTTAAATTAGAGGAAAAACAACACCGACATTTTGTTACAATTCTTTCCAGTTCTTTTGAAAAAGCCTATTTCTTTTCTTTCTTTTTGTTTTATTATTACTATTATTATATTTTTTAAAATCTTTATTGTTGAAAATATTACATTTGTCCCCCTTTTTCCATCGACCCCCTCCAACTCACCCCAGCCCCCCACCCCAGGCCCTCACCACCCCACTGTCTGAGTCCATGGGTTATGCAAATACGCATACAAGGTGAAAAAACCTATTTCTGTAATAGCTTCTATCATTCTGAATATACACTTATATCCTGAATACTTTAACATTATATTTGAGTATGTTACCATAGCTTTAAAAATTTGCTCTAAACATTATTTTAGTGAAAGTTAACATGTCACCATATTCTTATTTCAGGTACTTAGTTTACTTTCAAAATTTTTTCTTCTCAAAAATAACACTGCAATAACCTTTTGTATGTATGTATAAAACCTCTGGCTTTATATTCTAACTGAGCCACACTTAGTATTTCTTAGCAAAATACTGAGCTAGAAAATATTGATAATTTTTAAGCCTATTAGTATATATGACTCATTTGTTTTCCAAAAGAGTTGTTCACATTTATCTGCCCCTCTAGAAGAGTGTATTTATTTCACTTTAGCTATACTCTCATATTAAAAAAAAACACACAAAACCTCACAATTCACCAATATTTTTAGTATCTTTATGTTTTAAAAGTTACATACTGGAGCCCTGGCCGCTGTGGCTCAGTTGGCTGAAGCATTGTTTAGTACACTGAAAAGTTGTGGGCTCCATCCCCAGTCGCGGCACATATGGAAGGCAGCCGATCTATGTTCTCTCTCACACTGAGATTTCTTTCTCTCTCCCTCCCTCAAATCAATAAGCAAATCCTTGGGTGAGGATTTTTTTAAAATTACATAATGGAAAACTGCCTTATAGTCACAATACATTTCAATAATAGAAGTCAGTCTCCCCATGTGGAGTGACAGAAGCCAGATGTGCAAGTGTGTACTATCTGGCCCCGTGTACACAGACCACAAAGCTGGCCAGGCCAACCTGTGCTATTCAGAGTCAGGACAGCAGTTACCCTTGGAGGGGCAATGACTGGAAGGGAACACAAAAGGAACTTCTAGGGGAGTGATAACGTTCTGTTTTTAAAAATCTTGAGTATTTGTGACAAAAGTATTCAGTTTGTGAAATTTCATTGAGCTATACATGCTTGTCTTTGTATAAATGTTGCACTTAAGTAAAAAGTTAAAAAAAAAACCCTCCATGACCCTGCCTATCCAAGAATTTCTACTCTATTTTTTTCTTTGAATTTATTGGGGTGACATTGGTTAATAAAATTACACAGGTTTCAGGTGTACAATTCTATAACATATCATCTGTATATTATATTGTGTATTCACCACCAGAGTCAAGCCTCCTTCCATCGCCATTTCCCACCCTCAATACCCTCTTCACCTGCCTCCACCCCCTATTTTTCTACTCCAGTTCCTCTGCCTCAAAGCAGGAAAAAAGTATTTCTGTGGTCAGATGAATTTTACAGAAAAAGGCATTTGGTCTTCCACCAAGGTTTGCCGAGGATGCAAGCCATGGGTGGATGGGCAGCATTCCCCACCATCAGTCCATGTGGAAGGGGAGGGGGCTGGGGTTTGAAAGGCTGGAGGTAGAGTTGAACACCTCTTCCCTCCCTCCTTCCTTCACAATGCTACACAGATGGTTCCCTCTAATTAAGTCAGTATTAATCACTTCCCAATTAGTAATTAAAATGATACTTTAGGTTCTCTCCCTCTCTATTTGTTCACCCAGAAAGTCATACAGCAGGAGTGACGAATGCCACTTACTAAATCCAGCCATTCTACAAACATACACACACGCCAGAGGGCATATTTAACCAGAGCCAAACAAGCAGCAGTGAGAACACAGCACCGCCCCCCGCCTCCTCCACCAAGCGTAGCAGGAACGAGATATGAATATTGCATCATATGGATGGCAAACTTATTTCCAACAGAGGAAAGAAACACAATGACAAAAGGTGGTAAAGTTCCCAAGAGTAAGAATCATATCTGGAGCAAACACTGATATTTTTTATCATTAAAGAAAACCCTTCCATTTTGTTCTAGCAATGGAACCACAGAATTACAGACTAAGAGAGGGAAGAACTTCAGAGACCTGGTCCAAATTCCAATTTTATGTTTGCAGGAAGCAACCAGGACTAAAAAATGATCCTCCGAAACCATTTCTGAAAACTATTTACTGGACACTCAGAGTCAACCAGAAAGAACTTTTCTTTCTTTCTTTTTTCTTTTTTAAAAAAAAGTTGTTATTGATTTCAGAGAGGAAGGGAGAGGGAGAGCTAGAAACATCCATCATGAGAGAGAATCATTGATGGTGCCTCCTGCATGCCCCCCACTTGGGATTGATCCTGCAACCTGGGCATGTGCCCTGACCAGGAATCCAATCGTAAGAACTTTTCTTTTAAAGATGCAACTGATGGAAATAAAAAAATGCTCACACTACACAAATCCCATTTCTCATGACACCGATTTCATAGCTTCCTCCGGTTAGTAACAGCACTCCCAGTATTCTGGTCACCACCCTTGAAACCAGTCACCTTTCAGATGACTCTTTCCCCTCAATCATACCTCTCTCTTCAAATCACTTATCAAGTGTCCCCCACTGTCATGGCTTTCTCATCTTTCTCAAAGCCCCACACTAATCCAGGCCTTCAACTTGTGTTTTAGGACCGAAAACATAGCTGTCAAATCCTGGTGCACCCCAGCTTAAAGACTTTCGGGTAAGGAAAGGCCTCCAATTCTTTCACTCTCTGCTCTTATGTGGCCTCTGAGGGAGGCAGGAATCTAAGATGGTCGCAAGGTTCCACACACCTTCTTCCAATGATTTAAGCCAGTGGTCGGCAAACTCATTAGTCAACAGAGCCAAATATCAACAGTACTTCAAAATAGACTCGCCCAGGCCGAAAAACGACTTCTGCGCATGGGCCACGAAATTTCAATCGCACTGTACGCGCACTCGCGCGTATTTTGTGGAAGAGCCACACTCAAGGAGCCAAAGGGCCGCATGTGGCTCGCGAGCCGCAGTTTGCTGACCGCGGATTTAAGCAAACACTAATGTAGGTACTGCTGGGAAAGGATTTTGCAGGTATAATTAAGATAAAATCAGTTGACCTCAAGATAGGAAGACTATCTGGGTATTCCCAACCCAGTGAGGTAAATCATTACAAGTGACAGGGCACCTGGCCAATGTGGCTCAGTTGGTTGGAGTGTTGTCACGTATACCAAAAGGTTTCGGGTTTGATTCCTGGTCAAGGCACATACCCAGGTTGCAGGTTCCATCCCTGGCTGGGCACATGTGGAAGGCTTCTGATAAATGCTTCTCTCTCTCTCTCTCTCATCATTAAAAAAAATAAACTACAGCTTTTCTTAGTGAGAGAGCTTCAAAGCATACAGGGGTTTGATGGAAGGGAGATACTTCACTGCTGGCTTTGAAGATGGGGGGAGGGAGACCTTTAGGAGCAGAGAGCAGCACTGACAGCCAGCAAGGAAATGGAAACCTCAGTCCTACAACCACAGGAACTGAATTCTGCCACAAGCTCACCTCTTCTAACCTCCTACACTTGGAAATCCAACTTGTCTCCATTCTCAGTAACTAGAGCAAATGCCTGTCACATACAGCTTGGAAGAGGACACTGAGCTCCAGATGAGAACATGGCCTGACCTGATTTCAATGAGATCTTGAGCAGAACACCCAGTTCTGCCATGCCCAGATTTCTCACATAGAGAACTGTGAGCTAACGAGTTGAGTTAAGGCAATTTGCTACATAGCAATAAAAAAACCAGTGCAGCCTCTCCACACTTCAATTCTGTTGTGCCCCACATGTGTTCAACACTAGGGCCACACAAACTCTGCTGAACTAGTCAGATATTCTGGTAACATTTATGTAAGGGTTTCCTCCTTCCTCTTGTTGATGTTATGTATAATAAAGGCTAACCAATTTCTATTATTCTTATAAAAGAGAGAAAATAGCAGCAAAAGACCAAAGACACACCAGCATAGTGAAATTCAAAAGAGGACTCAACTAGAATAATGAGTAGGTGCTCAGGCAGTTCCCTATACTTTCTGGGTCTGAATTTCCTTCCCTATAAAATTTGGAGGACTGCCCTCAAGATCCCTTCCAAGGGAACCTTTCAAGGTATCAATGCCAAACTAATTATTCTTTTAATCTTCTGGAAATCCAACTTGTCTCCATGCTCAGTGGCTAGAGCATTTGCCTATCATCTACTGTGTGAGGAAGGATTCCTCAGGATGCAAAACACTCTGCCTTAGCAGAGAGTGGGCAGAGAGCTGCACAGTGTTAGGTGGGAAGAAACTTTGAACTCCTGCCTTCTTCCTGCAACACAGAGGAAGCTGGTGCTCAGACAGAGACCCTCTCTGTACTAAGTGTTATGACAGGAACCCAAACTGGGAAGGCCCATCTCCAGCACACAGTCCAGGACTCTTCCCATTATATCCCGGAGGGAGGGGAAGGAGGAGAGGAGAAGAAAATAGAGAAGTAAGATTAATGCACAGTTGCCTAAGTTGGCTGGTTGGCGCTGAAAATGACACCACCACACACTCAAAAAAAAAACCCCACAAACACACACAAACACACCCACACACACCCTCAGAGAACCAAGCTGCTTAACAATATCATACTTGATCCCCATTATAGGAATGAAATGTGCTTGGCTAGTCAAACAGACTTTGACCTCTGCTTTGGTCACCGGATGTCATCCCTCTTTATCTGCCCCACTTTGCCTGCTAATAGCCCTTTCCATGAATCTACCCCAATATGAATTCTACTGTTATCTCTCTTTATTGCCCTATTCTATTCATCCTTGGAGAATGGGTTCCTTAGAAACTTACTGAAAGATACTACAAATGGCTTCTATACATTTAGTCTTTTATGCATAGTCCTTCTCTGGAGTTTTAATACCTGCTACATATGACACCCCAGGGCCGGAAAACAGAAAGGGACCTTCCTATGCTGTGCTGATGAAAAGTGGAGAGTTGACAGGCAGACATGCCACAGGGTTCCTTTTGCTCTTTCTATAAGGTACATGTCTTTCCAGATAATTTGTCATACATTCACATGTGAGAAAACGACTAGTTTTCTTAGACTCTGGACGAATTTGCTGAAACAAAGCTGGCACAAGCTGCATTTCATGCGTTTGAGAATTCTGCAAAGGATTTATAATTTATGTTTAATATTACAGGGATCTTTCTGAACTTTTTACCGGAAGTGAAAATCTTGGGTCCTGATTAATTCTAATACCAGTATTACTATCAGCAATAAAATTAACCAGTAAAGTTTTAAGATTTCTTTGCAATAATTTTTGTTCTTAGAATAGATTCCATTAAGGATATACAGATGGAATATTATAGTCAACATTCACTTGGAATACTTTTTTCCTCTGTATGGATCGTACCAATATGAAGTAGAAACAGGCCTTTTAATTAAAAAATGTAAACACAAACAATGTTAAGAAATTGTGTTTAGACTCTTGGACACTATTTAACTGTTTTTATAACTATAGTTGCAACAATTTTGTAGGTAAATATCTTTAAGTATATGTTTGAATTCTTAATGTAGACAAAAAAAGCTGTTGCTTCTTCAATTTAGTGCATAAAAACAAAAATTGCTTAAATATTTTGGGGGAGCACAGGATACATTTTTCTTTTGTTACTATACAATAGTAACATATAATCATCATACAAAAATAAAAGACTACAGAAAATAAAATTTAAAAAAAAAGAAGAAGGAGGAGGACTTCTGCAAAGGAGCTTATAAGTCAGCTTTGCTTGTTCCCGGGCAAATGCACATTCATTTTGCTCCTTCAAATGAGAAACAGGCACCTTAGAGAGGGGCTCTGACTGGCATTATGTTTCAAACCCTAAACATATCCGAATCTAGAAAAGTCTGTCTCTGAAATTATCGTGTAGAAAAGATCGTCCATGTTTAAAGTCCACTTATGATCCAGATAAGACTTGACTCTTCATTCTGAATAAACCATGTAGGTAGTAATACAGCGAGAAGGATTTTGATCCTCCTATTATAATTCGAGTCAACCATTTCTTCCAGTGATAAGATTTCATTTACAAAGTGATAAGCACATCTGGAGCTACAGCTGTGGGGAAGATGCCAGTTCTCAGAGGCCGTGACCTTGTTTCATGCTTTGCTACCCCATCTACCATCTAGCGGCAGGCGCCCCTGAGTGCTCACTGCTCGAGTGTGAGACAAACTTCTCAAACTGCTTCATACACATTTGAGTCCCAAAAGCACGAGTTACCTGTAAACTAAAAAAACTGGTCTTTAATATCTGAGGTGCAAAGAAAACACCTACCATCAATTCTATCCACCATGACAGTGTGGCAGATTGCAAGCAGGAAGAAGAATTGCCGCACTTCCGGCTCCTTCCCTGACTGGATTTGCTCGATGAGGTAATGGTCATAAAAGGCGAGCTTCCCATCTGCATATGTGTTCCAGCTAAAATCAACTTGCTAGAAGGAAGAAGTGGAACAGGAAAAGAAAATGTGATTAAAAAACACACACAACTTGGGCTTAGCAAATGATATGAACTTTTATTTGAAGCTAAGTCTTTATGCAAAAATCACTGTAGGATTTCAACACATTCTTAACTGTCAAAGGTTCACACCTGTCTTAAAGCTAAAATATACCTTGTGGGTTGGAACTATGGCTCCCAAAGCTATGTTGAAGTCATAGCCCCTACTGCCTGGGAATGACCTTATTTGGAAAGAAGGTCTTCGCGGATGTAATCTAGTTAAAATGAGGTTATATTGAGTTATGGTGGGCCCAATCCAAAGGAGGGACATTGGGACACACACAGGGGGAACACCGTTTGATGACAGAGGCAGTCATCTGCAGTCCAAGGAAGACCAGGGATTGTAGGCAACCATCAGAAGGTGGAAGGGGCAAGGAAGGGTTCTTCCCTAGAGCCTTCGGAGGGAGTGTGGCCATGTGGGCACCTTGATTTCAGATTCCTGGCCTCCAGAGCAGTGAGAGAAGACCTTTCTGTTGTTGTAAGCTATTCATTTTGTGGTATTTGTTACAGCAGCCCCAGGAATGAATTCACACCACCACCGATTCCTTAAGTTAAAGGACTCACCTCTATTTTGCTATGATTGTGTTGAGAAGCATCCCGATGGTCTCCTGAAAAGCAAACAGAACAAAATCAGCTGAGTCTCCACCTGCGTCCAGAGTTCCCTCTTCACCTTGCTTTGGGTCTATATTGGTGGTGGTTCTATGGGTCTCATAGCCTGTTTCTGGACAAACCTTGAGTCAAAAATGGTTTTTATTTATATTTTTCAAGAATTGTAAAAAACAAACAAAATACAACAAAGAAGAATATTTGATATAGTCTACATGTGGCCTGCAAAGGCTAAGGTATCTCCTATCTGGCTCTTTATAGGAAAAGTTTGATGACTCCTGTAAGTTCAAACAGGGTGCCTGTGTCCTCTACACTGCAATGTCCTCTGGGCCCAGACCATGTCCTTTGAAGTTCTTTACCTCCCCCAGCTCAGAAGGCACTGTCAGTGGGCACACGAGAATCACTTCCTTAGCCCCCCACCCTGCCCCTGTGTCCCACCTTTCTTATGGATGCTCGTTAGTAAGAACACATTTCCAGTATAAAGTTTGCTACAAGTGGAAAGCATACAGTGTTCTTAAAGCTTTTTTTTTTAAAAAAAAAACTGTATTAAATAAGAGCACTCTAATTGAATATAGTATTAGCCTTAATATTTTTATAAGTATACAAAATATTAAAATGGAAATCAACTTAAAAATAATTGTGGTGAAATACGGTACACATAACATAAAATTTACCATTTTAACCATTGTTAAGTGTACAGTTTGGGAGTATTACGTGGTAAACACACTGTTGTGCAACCATCACCACCATCCATCTGCATGGCTCTTCATCTGGTAAAACTTAAAGTTCAGTTCTCATTGAATAATAACTCCCTCTCCCCGGCAACCACCATTCAACTTTTTGTCTCTAGAAATTTGACTACTCTAGATAAGATACCTCATATAAGTGGAATCATACAGTATTTGTTCTTTCGTGACCGGCTCCTTTCACTGAGTATAATGTCCTCAAGGTTCATCCTTATTGAAGCATGTGTCAGAATTTCTTCCTTTTTAAAACTAAATATTCCATTGTGTATATATAGCACTCTTTATCTTTTCATCCATCAACTGGCACTTGGGTTAATTCCATGCTTTAACTATTGAATAATGATCCCATGAACATCGGTGTGCAAATATATCTCTGCATCAATCCCTGCTTTCGATTCTTTTGGGTATATATCCAGAATTGGGATTGCTGGACCACATGGCAATTTTGAGTTTAATTTCTTGAGGGATGTGTGCCTATTTCTGACTGCTGAACTCGCCCACCATGTGTTCCCGATGCCACCGATGCTCTGGCTTCAGGATTCAGCCTAGGATGAGCACCGGGCTCTGCATTGGGAGGGCACTAGCAACGCTGGCAAGGCAGGCTCTCAGGGGCTGAGGAACGGCTTCCACTCACCATATATTTTTCCATTGATGCAGCACTTTTTAAAGGTCATGATATTTTGTGTGAGAGTGCCTGTTTTATCAGAGAAAATGTAATGGATCTGCCCAAGCTGCTCATTCAGCGTAGTGGTTCTTGCCTTTGCAGGCGTGTCCTTCTCAAAGTAGTACATCTGCAGGTCCCAGTTTATGAAGTAGCTCTGTCCAAGACGGATCACTTCCACACTAGGAAGACAGAAGATTACTTTCAATAGAATTCTCAGACACGCGTTGGCAGATGGTGGATTTTATCCTCACTTGTACGTACAGGAGTGAGCTGCTTACCTACAGAGACACAAGCCAGGCAGTAGCCCATGTGTCCGGCTTCTGGGTCCTCCTGACCAAACATACCTTTCTCTAGGTTTAGGGCCAAAGTGCCCTTCTCATTCCCACTCACTCCTGAGCACATCCAGCCATGGTCACAGTGCCCCACATTCCAACACAACCCAGTGGGGCGGGTGACATAGTGGCATGCAGAGGGCACCATGTGGCTATTCTCACTCTCTTTACTCTCATTCTCCACTGTACTTGGGCACAACTGGAATGGCCATGTTTACCATCACCCCAATTCTAGAGCAAGTTCACCAAAGTTACAGACCAGCACTGTCTCCAGAAGGGAAAAGGGCTCTTGGCAAATAACTCCTAAACTGTGATTCCACACTCTGAAAAACACAGTTTTCCCCTAAATTCTTATAGGGCTATAGAATGTCCAAAATAAGATATTCTAAGAGGATCATCTCAATTCTAAAACCCTAAGTGATTACATATATCCAGTTATAAGGAAACTGTTTACATATCCAGCAAATGTTAAGTAGGCAAAGATGCCTTATAAAAGTTCAACAGATGGAAGGATAACTCCCTTCCTCCTTCCATATATGCTTCCTGAGTGCCTGCTCTGACCAGACACCATTCTAGGGACAGGGGGCACATTAGTAAATAAAGCAGGCAAACTCCCCACTCTCAAGGAGGTTACCTTCTACTGGAATCAGATAAATAAAAAGACAAGTAAACACATATCAGGTGGTGAAATTTCTCTGGAGAAAAATCAAAGCAGGGTGAGGGGAGATGGAGACCAACAGGAAACAGAAGTGACATTTAAGATAGAGTGGGTGGAAAGGCCAAGTGATCATATGTGATAAGAGAGCAGAGACCTGAAGGAAATGAAAGAGGAATTATGTAGATACAGACTGAAGGATGTTCCATAAGAACAGGCATGAAGGGGCTGGCACCCCGAAGCGTATCGAGGAGGCGAGAGTAGCGGGAGCCCAAGAGGTTTCGGTTGGAAGTGGAGGAGGGCAGAACCTCAGATCAGCTGGGCCTGTGGGTGATGGTGTGGCCTCACTGAGTTTGCTCTGAAGGTAACAGAGCTACTGCAGGTTGAACACAAAGCAGAGATACTATCTGGAATTACCTGATCTGACTCATGCGTTAAAAGGGCCTTTATTTCCAAGAGAAATAAAGAAATCCCAGTAGTCACACGACATGACTTTTTTAAACCAATAACTACACATTCAGCTTATTTTATAAATTACATTTATAGTTTTAGACAAAATAATCTGTGTATGAGTTCCCTTGACAAAGGTAAAACTCATCTCAGAGTTTCTTTCTTTTTTAAAAAAATATATTTTATTGATTTTTTACAGAGAGGAAGAGAGAGGGATAGAGAGTTAGAAACATCAATGAGAGAGAAACATCGATCAGCTGCCTCCTGCACGCCCCCTACTGGGGAGGTGCCCACAACCAAGGTACATGCCCTTGACCGGAATCGAACCTGGGACCAGTCAGTCCACAGGCTGATGCTTTATCCACTGAGTCAAACCGGTTAGGGCTCATCTCAGAGTTTCTTAAAGCCATCTGCAAACAGATGGCTCCCCTGGGCTTTACTTCATGTTAAAAGAACAACAATAACTACATGTAATAAAATTAAAATAAAATAAATGCTTCTAATTACAGGTGTGTATCTGACCCTGTGTGCCTCTGGGCTATTATCTACTGGAACTAAAAGCAGACTCTGGCTGCTGAGTACATTTCAAGACATAATCCCTCTCCCCAAGTTCTAAAATCCAACTGACCAGTGACAATGAACTTGGATATTAAAGAAGGAAAAAGTAGCCCTCGATGGCATTGCTCAGTGGTTAGAGCACCAGCCCACACACCAAAGGGTTGCTGGTTCCATTCCTGGTCAAGGGCATATACCTGGATTGCAGGTTTGATCCCTGACCCCAGTCAGGGCACAATGAAGGAGGCAACCAATCCATGTCTGTCTGACTGTCTCTCTCTCTTCTCTCTCTCTCCCCCAATTCTAGTCCCTCCCTCCCTTCCACTCTCTCCAAGACAACAATGGGAAAAATATCTTTGGGTGAGGATTAACAAACAAAAGAAAGAAAGAAAAAGTAAAAAAGGAAGAAATAGCACAAACCAGGAGGTTACCATTTGTCAGAGGCATGAGTCTGCCCCTTATTTGTCAGAGGCAAGATTAGTAACAAAACATTTTGAGAGGCTTAGCGGGGCAAGGAGAGTGGCATTCCCATGGGAAGATCGTGGACCGGAAGTCCAATGAGTTTTACAAGGAATGGATGTGGCAGCAGCAATAGGGGAGGGGAGGGTAATAAGTGAGAGGCAGATGAGACTTTAGGACGACTCCTAAAAAGGAAGCAATTAAATTTTCCCATGACATCCTAAATCTTCACTTTCTCCCAGGTTCTTTCTGAAGCTTGGGTTTTGGAGCCCACAGAGAAGGGATCTTACTAAGTGAGTGACTACAGGAGGAGGGTTCGACCTCTGAACTCTAATAGTCTTATCGGTAAACAGGCTGAGATATAAGCTGAGCCTGGCACAAAGCAGACAATCAACTGTTCACTTCCTTTCCCTGCATTAAACCCCATTCTGAAATGAAAGTTATTTTCTTACTTGTTGCTTATGACCTTTGAAACAACTATTGCTAGAAAGAAAGGCACCAAGTTGCAAAAACGTACTGTGTTCTTCCTTAAAAGCAAAGGGCCAAGTGTAGACAGCCTTACCTGACATAGAGAGAGATGGGCACCATGGTGTTCAGAACAATGATGTAGCCCCAGAAATTGAGGAACCCACGGTAGGAGGGGCTAGAGTCTTCTCCATCATAAAGGTACCAAGAATAATTGCCAACTTGAGCTTCCCAGTAAGCATGGCCAATGGCAAGACCAGCAGAAATCAGGCTCAGAAGAACAAAGATCTACAAGAAATACAACATTGAAGTGTAGCATTCTGCAGGATTTCCCACTCGGTGCATTTAATAGATACTAACTACTTTACATATTTATGATAATTTAGTAGCTTATAAAAACAACACAATTAAAATAGAAACAGTGCCATAAGAATGCTTTGAAAGTCTATTTGATTTCTATGAATGATTGATTTATCCTACATTCCATATATGAGGTGAGGTTTTATTCCAAAATTATATTTCTGAAGAGAAGATAGTGTCTTACAGTCAAATCCTTAAACACCCTCATATTGAACCACATTCTTTCAGTTACTTTTATTTTAAACAATAACACACTGTTTGGGGAAGATACCTTACCTTAGTATGAAAGATTTTCAAACATTTAATTAGATGCTTATAGCTAATGTTTAATGGAAATGATTTTTTTTAAGGCAAGGAAATTTCACCCAGATTTGGGTAATTATTCTTGAAAGTTTAATGATCACTTCATGTTTAAGATCATTTAAGAAACAATATAGTAAGTATTCTGTTGTGGAAATTATGATTATATATCTAAGGGATGAATAAAAGTCAACTGTTTAGTAGTATTTGGGTACTTGTGGTAGTAATAAAATTTCCAGGGACAGATTTAAATTTCTGGACAGATTCCCAAAGTCCTATATCTCAAAACAAATTGCCACAGAGGAGAGATGATGAGCTCATTGTGAGTGCTCCAGCCTTAGTCAAGGCAAGACAGTGAAGATGCACATGAAAACTTCAAATCAAGTTTTCATGAAATGTGAGGGCAGGGAAAAAAAGAATTGTTTCTTAAATATATTATGTTTTATGATTTTTAAATATGTATATGCAAGTAAAATATTATAAGTATTATTTCTTCTCTATAAGTATATATATTCAAATTAAACAAAATACTTTAAAAAAATTAGTTCTCTTTGGGAACCTGGAGGAGCACTTAGTATTTGGGGCCACCCTAAGGAGCAGGCCTGCTTGCAAGCTTGGTTTTAGCTGGCATCTGGAAACCTGGATATTGGCGAAGTTTTCTGATTCCTTAATTCTTTCTTTTTTTTTAATTAAAAAAACTGATTTGAGAGAGAGAGAAAGGGAGAGGGAGAGAGAGACAGAAACATCCATGAGAGAGCACATCGATCAGCTGCCTCCTGCATTGCCCCCTAATGGGGATCGGGCCCACAATCTAGGTATATGCCCTGACTGGGAATCGAACCAGATCTCCTGGGTGCATGGGTTGATGCTCAGCCACTGAGCCACACTGGCTGGGTCTGATCCCTAATTTCTTATGGTCTGATAAGAATGGCTCATTATGCCTCTTTGTGTATGTTTTATGCTGACCACCGCTCTCCTTCGGGGAACCTGGAAGTCTGGTGATCCCAGGCTGACAGTGCCTACGTGACCAGACCCCAGTAAAGCCCCAGGCACGGAGTCTCTAATGAGCATCCCTGGTGGAGGCAACATTTAACATGGGCTGTCACCAACTGTTGCTGGGGGAATTAACTGTGTCGTGCGTGTGACTCAACTGGGAGAGGACTCTGGAAGCTTGTGCCTGGCTTCCTCCAGACTTTGCCCCAGGAGCCTTTTGCCTTTGCTGATCTGAGAGTAATAAGTTATAATAAGTCAGAGCTGGGAGTACAACTATACGCTGAATTCTGGGAGTCCTCTTTGTGAGTCATCCAACCTGGGGGTATGTCTTGTGGATTCTCAACACACCTAGGATTTAGGCTTACCTTATATTTGGATTTATACAGTGTATGTTGGAAAAAAGTTTGCTTTTAACAGAACTACCGTTATGGGAAACTAACCGTGAAATCAATCTTACCTTGACTTCAGGAGCCCAGACCCACTAACGTATCTAGCCCCCTGGTTTAGAATGTGGCCTTTCTGAGAAAAAGTGAGGGAAGCCTCTCTCCCCACTCCAACCTTGAAGTGACTCATGCCTTTTCCACCTGGCCTACAGAGGTTGGCTTTCTTTGTATTAGGAAAACATACAATAAACTTAGAACACAAGACAGCAATCTAGCCTCTCATCCAGAGAAAAAGAAAATAAATACCGTATAAACCATGTAGTTCATCAAGTAATCAATTTTAGTTCTTTTAAATCTGGTTTTCCCACTATTCCTCATTATTTTAGTGTCGGCACCTAGAAATGGAAAATTCAATATAATCAATAATTGGAAAAATCAATGCACTGGCCTATGGATAAAATTACTCTTCCATTGGTTTCCATGGAGAAAGAACAGAAGAGCAATCCTCTTCTTTAAATCTTGAAAGTACCTATCATATCAATTTCCCAAGAAACTTCGAAAGTACCTGCAAAAATGACCAATCCATGACAGAAATCGGTGTTCCTAATTACACAGCCACGTAACAAAATTTTATCAGCATCCAAAGAAAAACTTGTGTTTCTCCAGAAGAGTGTTCCTGTAAACTTATCTAGTCGGTTATTGGGTTCTTCGCATTCAACAAAACCTTTAAAAGAGATATGATTCACATAAATGCTCACACAACATTTTCTAACTTTAATGAATAGGGACCGAATCAAGCAACTAAAATTTAAAACAAAGGAAGACGTGTTTTCACAAACCATCAAACGTTGCCAATGAATTTTCTTTTTGGAGATATTGGTGTGTGGTTTCAAGTGCCATTTTGAACTTTAAATTGGTTTCTCTAGAGAGAGAGAGGGGGAAAAAAGAATTAAACAGACAAATTTTAAAGTTCAAACGGGAATATAAAGAAAATTGTTCAAAGTAACATTAGGCAATCCTAGAAGCAAAAGCTAAATAATTAGATTTTTTCTTCTTCTTCCAAACTTTCTGATCATCTTGGAACTTCAGATTTGGACAGAAAAACTCCTGACCTGGGAAATGTTGCCAACATTCCTACCAGACAGAGGTACCAGAAATGCTCCTTCTTCCTTCTAACTAAACTCTTACACCAGCCTAAAGTATCAAACTGCTGTTTAACAACTTAGCTTCTAATATTTAATCACACTAAGGTGATTCTACAAAACATATTTTTTACAGAAAGTGTCTAGATTAGTGGTTCTCAACCTTCTGGCCCTTTAAATACAGTTCCTCATGTTGTGACCCAACCATAAAATTATTTTCGTTGCTAATGTTATGAATCGTAATGTAAATATCTGTTATGCAGGATGGTCTTAGGCGACCCCTGTGAAAGGGTTGTTCGACCGCCAAAGGGGTATCGACCCATAGGTTGAGATCTGCTGGTCTAGACTGTCAACTTATTGTTCTCCAGAGTAAAGAAGTGGATCCCATGTCTTTGAAAAATAATCCTCTCTATCCATTCCCAAATCTTGGCATGCTCTACCCGCTCACTATTCTCACTCATGGGAATAATAGCTGTTTCATAGTTAAGATGGAACATCCTCTGACTGGCTTACAGAACAGAGGAAGATCTAGGTTTTACTCAGCAATTTCAGCTCTCCTTAAAGAGACATAGGCACAGCTGGACTGTAAGGAAAGGGGTTTACACCAGCGGCATCCCAACTCTGCCACTGACTGCGTGACCTCGGACAGGCTACTTCACCTCCTGGCCTCAGTTTCCTCAAGGATAATGTCAAGGTAATAATATTACTTGTCTCAGACAGTTGTTGAGGAGATTAAATGGGCTAAACCATTAATCTAATGTAATCTAGTAGGCCCTCAATAAAATGTACTGAAAAACAGGCCTTTACTCTCTTTCAAGTGGAAGCATAATAATCAAGACTAACAAAGGGAGAATTCAAAACTGGCAAAGACTTTAACAATCTGTTCTTTTTTTCTAAAGTAGATTGCATTAATCATCATTCAGAGGTGTCTGAACCCTGCTCAGCGGTTCACAAAAGGCTGGGCGCGCATTTGACCCTTTCACCTTCCCTGAAAGGTGGGGAAAGGCAGGCGTGACAGCACCACTTTATAAATGGAATCAGACAGGGAGGCTGGTCAATTAGGGACACTGCTGGCCAGAGAGGATGTGGTAGAGGCCAGGCCAGCTCTCAGGGCTTCCATTCCAGGCACGGCTTTCAACGTTGCGGACTGAGCCTTCCAAGGGGAGCTTTAATGCAGGCCCACCTGAGACCCACTTACCCATCCAGTTCGGCCGTTTCGACATAGCAGAGGCTGTTCGGTTCAGAGCTGGACAGCAGTAAGATGTCAGCCTGTTCGAAAAACAAACACACCAGTGACACAGAGATCCCAGACCAGACCGAGCGCCAAGTCAGATCTGGGAGAACAGGAATGAGATGCGAGCTTGTTCACTTACTGGAATAAAATCATTTTTCCTCAGACGAATGACATCTCCAACTTGAATCTCCTTCCACTTGGTAACTTTGAATCTAAACATTAAAAATACAGATAGGTTATGGGTGTTTTAAAAAGAGCTACTGGCAAGAGACCTGGCATTATTCTTTCAGGAAGCCAAAGGTTCTGGGAGAACATGAAAATCACAGGAAAAGTTTGGCGAAAAGTTCAGCCATTTCATGACGTAGCCCCATTAAGTGGTCATGAGAACGATGTAATGCTCTGAAGGAAGCAACAATGATGGTGATGATGGTGATGATGGTGATTGTCTTCTTTCCCTCCTCCGTCATATAATTAAGGCTTAAAGGGGGCTACTTAAATGTGTGGCCAGGAGACACATGCCACCCTTTTTTGGTTTTGCTCATGTCCTGTGTTCCCACCACTCCTGTCCTCTCTCTCTTTTTTTTTAAGGGAAGCTATTTTGTTGTTGTTGTTGTTGTTGTTGTTAATCCTCACCCGAGGATATTTTTCCATTGGTTTTTAGGGAGAGTGGAAGAGAGAGGGAAAGACAGAAACATCGATGTGAGAGAAACACACTGACCAGGGCCCGGGCTGGGGAGGAACCTGCAACCAAGGTACATGCCCTTGACCAGAATCGAACCCAGGATCTTTGGTCCACAGGCCAACACTCTATCTACTGAGCCAAACTGGCTAGGGTGAAACTGTTTTGTTTTTTTTTATTATTGATATTTGAGAGAGGGAGAGAGAGAGAGAAAAAAAAACATCGATGTGTGAGAGAAACATTGATTGGATGCTTCCCATATACACCCCTACCTGGGATTGAACCTATAACCTAGGTATGTGTCCTGACCAGGAATCGAACACGCCACCTTTTGGTGCATGGGACAACACTCCAACCAACTGAGCCACCCGGCGAGGGCTCTTCTGTCTTCTCCATTATCCATTACCTCCTCAGCTGCAGGTCTGGGTGGTCCCAGGACAATAACATATTATGGCTCCCACATGGGGCCACCTGGAATCCTCATGGAACTTTAAAGTTTAAACTACCTTTTTAATGAGTCTATATCACTTTTACAATAAGTCTTATAAGGGTATTGATAAAATGTAAAATAAATAAAATGATGACTACCTTCAGCAACAAACTCCATAGGCAATACCCATTTAAATTTCTAACAAATAAAAATTTAAAAAGTTTTAGAATATAGTCTCTTTTAAAGGTTTTTCATATATAGAAAAAGATATTCCCAACAGATATTATGAACCTACACAATGAATAAACTTAACTTTTTGGAGGCAGGAATTCAATTACTATGTTTGTCCTCCATGAATTTATGGATTAAAAAGACCTAGAGATTTAAAATTCATTTTAGATACATGCTAACATGCTCGTTTCCCCAGTTTTATAAGAATTTATCACACAATTCGTAAGCCCAGGATTTTTTAAAATTGGCTTTCAATAAATGAAATTGTAATTAGTTTACATTTCAATATCTCTAAAACTGTGAATTAGCAATTTGAATATGGGTCTCAAATGATAACTAAACAAGTTAGCACCTTCTTGCCACAGCTCTTTGCAGGGATAGAGGCAGTTCCATTGGACTTTTCCACTAGGATGTTCGGGTCCCCTTAGAAGGCCCTTGTTGCCCTGCCCCATCTCTGCTGCTGTTCCCGAACTTCTGCTGTGCAGGGCTTTACTTAGATGCCCGACACCATCCCCAGTTTTCCAGCTAAAGCGACTCCTTCCTTCACTGAACTCTCAGAACATCTTGTTTTCATCTTTCTCATTATGATCTGAATCTCATTTGAATTATTTGTGTGGGCGTCTCATCTTTTGTCCCCAGCAGAGACGGGAGCAGCACATTCCAGACTGATGAAGTTGTGTAAACATAGAGCCAGGCAGCCCAATCGGCAACCTCTCATAATGCAATTTGGGTAGAGCCTCCAGGTCACAAAGGGAGTACAAAGTCGTAGAAATTTTAGAGGGTGAAGACACCGCTAGACTTTTCTAATGGTTATCTCCAACTATGTTTCTAGACGTATTTACACATTAGAGCCTTGTAACTAGGTTACCATTGACAGACAGTACCTGCCATCCTTAATGACTTCACATGTCCTGTTGTTGACTTCGTTATCCATCTTATGGCGAGCCTTTAGAAGAGAGATGGAGAAAGGTTCTATTAATAATCTCAAAATGTAAAGTGTTAATGCCAAACTAAAAAATAAGCTTGCAGCCATGAGGGGAGAGTCTCATGGGAAATCCTTACCACATCATCCACCAGGTCTTTTATCGCCGTGATGCCCAGCACCAAAAGCAAGGGCACCAGGGTGGTGTACCACGCCAGGGTTGTGATCTGAGGAATGGCCTGGAAGAGACAAAAAGGCATACATGTGTGCCCATGAAGGCAAACACACAGGTAACTGCTAATTCTAAGCTTACTGATTTGAAGTCTAATCTTCATCATCACCCACCCAAGCCTGCATCCTGCAGAAAACAGAGAAAAGGCGTCTACGCATCCAGCCGATCTTCCTCTTACCACCTGCCCTCTCTCTACGCCCTGGCCTCCCAGAACAGAGCCCAGAGAACAGTGGCTCCTGAAATTCTCCCATTGTGACCTTAACTGAACACCAAGGAGGCTTTGTAACATGACCCTAGAGGAGAAGTGCTTCACTTTTTGTGTGAAAATCCCAATTAACTGGGAGGGTAGCATGGGGTGTGGGTGGAAGGAATCCTTTCACGTTGAGGGAATGCATAAAGCAGGCTCTTCACTGCTGGGGGCTGAGCCTGGGGGCTCGGAAGTAGGCAAAAATGACAGCGGGTAGTGGCTGGCTCTGAAAGCTAGTGATTGGATGGGGCATCTTTGGGGGCACTAGAAGAAAGCACTTCCTTCAGTGGCATTGCTATTGGTCCAGGCAAAAAAAGAAGCTGGCCTTGCAGGAAGCCAGTCATCCATCAAGATGGCATACATTGGAATAACAGATTGGAAACAAAATTTAGTGAAGATCTTTTGTTACCAACTAATTGATCTCTGAGCCATATGTACTGGTTAAAATGGCAGGCCTTATAGTCAAGCTCCTGGACCCAAGTCCTGCCCAGTTCTACCACTTATGGGCCACCAGACTTGGAGCGAGTTCCTTTGTCTCGCCAGGCCTCAGTTCTCTGCAAAATGCACGTTACAGTATTCAGCTCAGAGCACAAGAACCAAGTGAGGTAACAGTGCCAGGAAGGGGCTGCCTCAGGCTGTTCCTGTCACCTACACTGGATTGCTGTACTTGAAAGAAATTGGAGCCATTGGAGGAGACGAAGATCATTTTCCGCATTATTGTCAATATGTGTAACTTGCCTTTTCCTGCTAGAAGGAAGTAAGAGGAAAGTCGCCCACCCATCACAGTGGTACTTTATAAGTTGTGTAAACATAGAGCCTATCTCAAAGGTCCTTCGTGATAACGTGACCATCCTGCACTGTAGAATCAGCAGGTCTTACATTCCCCTAAATCTGATGAGTATCTATTTCTCTCTCTCTCTCTCTCTCTCTCTCTCTCTCTCTCTCTCTCTCTCTCTCCTCTCTCCTCTCGTGTTTTTCTCTCTCTCAGTTTCTCCCCGTTCTCTCTCTCCTCTCGTGTTTTTCTCTCTCTCAGTTTCTCTCTCCCCGTTCTCTCTCTCTCCTCTCCACTCCATGCATCCTCTATCCCCACCCAGACACACGTGCTACCATTCTCACAAAACCTTCCTGGGTGAATCCCAGCTGATGAGACTATTTTCGAGATCCCATGGTTGGTATAAAGAATGTGATAAAACCAAGAAGATGTGCCTTCCTCTGTAACCTGTATATGAGATGCTACCGGGTGACACTCCCAGTGGTAGAGTTCCTGTGATTATAACAGCTCCTAAACAGATAAAATTAATGCTCTCCAGATAAGGGTGGGTTTTTGTTTTGTTTTTGCCACAATAAAGAAAAATTAAAACTCAGGAAAAAATTGGCCTTTCCCAGGGTAAAACAACTTCACAAAAATAATTTATTGAGATTTATGACTAAAATATGAATGGAAATCAATAATATACTTGGGGAAATTAGGCATTTAAGTAAAAAAAAAAGGGGAAGCATAAACAATAGATTTAATTTTAAGGTACAAATAATAATTTTACAACGTGAAGATTTTAACTGGATTCATATTAGGGAAGCCAGTTTTAACATTCTCATCAGTATAAAATAGAATGTTTAAAAAGTCAAGGGCGGGGGGGAAAAAGGACACATATGTAATACCTTTTGTAATACTTTAAGCAATAAAAAAAAACACAGAATTAAAATAACATTTCCATTTGCTCCTTTTCCCTGGTCATTTAGCACCAATGGAGCCAGTTCTGTGCGTAAAGCATATTCCTGTACGAGCATCGCCCCGAGGTTAATATAAAAACTTTCAAGGTTAATCGAGATATATGCGTCCATAACATAAATGTTACTGAGTCACCATAATTCAAAACAGATTTTAAGATATCAAAGGGCATTACCTGTAAGATAAGAAGGACCAGGAAATAGAAATTGGCTGCTCTCTTAAACTGCTCAAACAAATTCATTGGTAGAAAGGTAAAGGCATTATACTTGTACGTTTTAATTGCATTGCTCTGTTGGAAAAAAGAAGAAAGTCATTCTAAATCACGCCACACATTTATCACAATGTACACACATCTGCGAAAGCAGTAAGTCCTATAACCAACAGTGACACAGAGACATCATTTATCCCTAAGAAAGATACTGAGATTTCCTTTAAGCTTCTAACTCTAATCAGGCCTCAAAATGACTCCTTGGAAGCCTAGCTCAGAGATGGTATCAAGACGCAGACATTTCATCCAGAAGTCTCTGGCAAATCCAACTGTGACCAAACGTGCCCTGCTATATCCTTGACCCCTAGAGCCTCTTAGAAAACAGAACAAAGGGAGATGTCAACATGGGCGGCAAAGCAGGAGGGGAAGGAACACTTTCTGTTTAAGGGGAGATGGCGGCTGCTATGTGAGAAAGAGTAACAGATACCATTGTGGGCTGACCTGTGTGCCCCAAAAGTTACACTCAAGTCCTACCCCTGATACCTGTGTCTGTCACCTCATTTGAAAATAGGGTCTTTGCAGATATAATCGAGTTGCAATGAGTCATACTGGATTAAGGTGGGCCCTAATCCAATACTGAAGGCCTTAGAACAGGGGTTCTCAACCTGTGGGTCACGACCCCTTTGGGGGTCGAACGACCCTTTCACAGGGGTCGCCTAAGACCATAGGAAAAACACATATATAATTACATATTGTTTTGTGATTAATCACTATGCTTTAATTATGTTCAATTTGTAACAATGAAATTGGGGGTCACCACAACATGAGGAACTGTATTAAAGGGCCGCAGCATTAGGAAGGTTGAGAACCACTGCCTTAGAAGAAGGAGAACTGGGACACATAGAAACAAGGGAGAAGTCCGTGTGAAGACAGACACAGATGAGAGGGATGCTCCTACAAGCCAAGGAATGGGGAGAACGGTCAGCTGCTGCCAGAAGCTGGCCAGGTGCTTGCAACAGACCATTCTTCAGATCCTCCCAAAGGAACCAACCCTGCCAACACCCTCCTTTGGGACTCTGGTCTCTGAAACTGTAAGACAATGCCTTTCTGTTGTCTTCAACCACCAGTTTACGATCCTTTCTTACAGCAGATCTAGAGAGCTAACAGACAACATTTCAGCCCACACTGCACAGGTGTCCTTTAGCATATTTCAAAGGTAATAAGCATTTTTGAGGTGAAAATATCTCCCAAATCTCTAAATCTATCATAGGCAGGAAAGGGAGAGATAAATTATTAAGATTCCTTTCAATTTTTTCTTACTTTCGAACATAAGGCTCTTGTGATATGATTGTATATTCTGTCAGACACGTTAAAGAGAATTTTGCAAATAGAGGGAAATTTTCAATCTACATAATTTTGTTTTGTTTCAAGCCACCCCTAGACAGCCTCAGGGCAGCCAAACTTACTGCAATGACATTCTATAGAGCTAACAATGACTGTCATGGCCCCAGGCCAGGGGTTATCTAGAAGGCAGGTGTCACATGAAGCTGGCAAGCAGGTTGGCCATTGGAGAAAACTGGCTTTTAGTAAAGACAACTTAGGCAGTTAAAATCAACTTACCGCATATTTGCTCTCCTTGATACAAAAGAACTTGGTGTTCATAAAATGAGGCTGTTCGTGGAAGCTTCGGTCATTTGCTTTGACTTGCCATGAACAATCTTTAAAAAAGAAAGAAGAAACAAATCCATGAAGTAGTCAATTAGCATGTTGTTAGGGGTTGATTTGTGTCCTTCTCAGATTCACTTGCCAAAATCTTACCCCCCCACCCCTACTTCAGAATATGACCTTATTTGGAAATAGGATCATAGCAGATGGAATCAATTTAAAGTGAGGTCATTAGGATGGCCTTTGACCCAACATGACTAATATCCTTAAAAAAAAAAAAGTAAATTTGGACACAGAGATACACATAGAGGGAAGATGATGTGAAGTTACAGGGGAAAGACCAAAAAACCAAGGAAAAAGCCCTGGAACAGATTCCTCCCTGAAGGAATGAACATTGTCAACACTTTGGACTTGAACTTCTTGTGAGACAAGAAACTTCTGCTGTTGAAGTTCCCCAGTTTATGGCACACTAATGAACATATTGTAACTTGTCCATAGAACATCAGGATTCTAAAAGAGCAAACTTTGTTTAAATACCCAAACAAAAATCCCAGAGCCCCAGAAGGTCACAGCTAAATTAAATTATTTTTTTGAACTCATTTACTTATTTTTAAACCACCCAGTTTGTGGTACTCTGTTATAACAGGCCTAGAAAACTAATTTATAACATTTATAACCCATTATTTAGTGAACGAATAAATCAAAGAAAAAGGCATAACCAACGAACTCAAACTTTTGAGTTCTGATCATAGGTTAATGTTATGCACTGCTTTATCCCTATCTGAAGTATCTGTCATCTTTATAAGTTCATTTTATGTACTTAATGTCACATCTACCACTCAATCACCACATCTAAATTCCAGGGCACTTCAGAAAGTCCAGCCCTAGCTGGTTTGGCTCAGTGGATAGAGCATCAGCCTGTGCACTGAAGGGTTACAGGTTCAATTCTGGCCAAGGGCACATGGCCCGAGTTGTGGGCTCGATCCCTCAGTAAGGGGTGGGCAACCAATGGTTCTCTCTCATCATTGATGTTTCTGTCTCTCTAGCCCTTTCTCTTCCTCTCTGAAATCAATACAAATATTTTTTTAAAAAGGGAGTCCACAGCTTCTCTGTCACTGGGAGGAACATTTCTCACCCAACAGGTTATCTATTAAAACACTTCTCCCTACCTGCCCTAC